GTTGAAAGCCTTTTCAAGAAGTGGCAAGATCGGCACAATCAGTCCCTACTCCCTATAGTTGAAGAACATGCTATGCAGCTCTTGAGGCATAGGGATGATTCTCTGTTTGAGCTTGAACGCCAAGTGATTAAGAAGAAGCAGAAGGTCAAAGAGCTTAGGGAAATCAGCAAAAAGCTATCCAGCGAGAACAAAAAAGTCTCTAACATTGAACGCAACCAGCAATGCTTAGTCGAATCCTATAGAGCTGCGCTTGCTGACCTCTTGGTTAAGCTAGCAGAAGCAGAGAATGAGTTGAAGAGCACAACAGAAAGGCAGCAAACCTTGACTACCCAGCAGGCATAATATCAAACACTGCTTCGATTGAGTCTGATGATTTGGATAGGTTAAGCAGTGCCATAAGCAATGTGAAAGTGCCTTCTGATGATGATCTGCACAAGCAAGTGATGGCTGAGGTCAAAGCGACACACCAAGAATCCATAAGCTGACTTGCTGAGGAAATCCACCAAACTGTTAAACATTTGTAATGATATTTTATCAATATAGTTACGCTTTTATAGTGAACTTTCTCGTTTGTGCAATTTTTTTGCTCTTCTTTAATAAAGTTCATTAGTCGGCAATGCATAAGACTTGTCTTAATGAGTCTCAAAACTTGGAACTTTTTAAAGACGTCATGACGAACTCCATAATTCTGACGCGAGGTTCAACGAACTTCATTATTTCAAAAACTACAAGGTGACTGTCGACAACCAAGTCTTAGTATTTTGGGACGAGGTTCAAAACGGTGTTAATCGACATGAGCCGACATCTCGACCGAGTTATAGGACGAGGTTCAAAGCATCTTAATTTAACCTCGATATCAGAGTTTGATTGAGATAACGACCTTCGTTTGTTTTGAAATTGAAGATGAGGTTAATTTAACCTCGATATCAGAGTTTGATTGAGATAACGACCTTCGTTTGTTTTGAAATTGAAGATGAGGTTCGATTGATTCCAACTAAGTCCCGATTATGAGATAACGACCTTCGTTTGTTTTGAAATTGAAGATGAGGTTCGATTGATTCCAACTAAGTCCCGATTAACGAACTTTGATTGAAAAAGCGACCTTTGTCATTTTGGACTTAAAAAACAAGGTTCGAACGGGTCTTAACTGAGTCTTGAAATTCGAACTCAATCGAGATAGCGACCTTCGTCGTTTTGGCCTTCAAAGATGAGGTTCAAACTGGTCTCAACTGAGTCTCAAAGTTCAAACACAATCAAAGTAGTGACCTTCGTCATTTTGGCCTTCAAAGATGAGATTCAAACTGGTCCCAACTGTGTCTCGAAATTCAAACTCAATTAAGATAGTGACCTTCGTCGTTTTGGAATTTGGAATGAGAATTAATCTTATTAAATAAAGTCGACTAGACTCCAACAATTCCCGAGCTGTTGATTCATATGAATTCGTCGCTTTGTTGGGATAACCATAAGCATTTAATACTTAATTTTCCCCACCAAATCATACTCTATTTGCGTTAAGTATGAACGCATTGAATGCGTCTCTTTGATTCCAACGCTCCCTTGACCATCTGGCACTTAGGAATTCGCATAACAGATCCTAGCCACTTAGTTAGCTCCACTACCTATAAATAGTCCATCACTCTTCAAGAAGAATAATTACCTTCTCCTTTGAGCCCTGTTACAAAATGACTAAGAGGAGTTTCCTCTTTTAATTGTTCCCTTCCTTATCCCCTTCACAGCTTCAAGCTTTTCTGTCATCCGCATTTAAGAATCTCTCAATATTTCATAATCGAAATCAGAATGTGTTTCAGCAACTTGCTGGACTTTCGAGTGCAACCCCAAAGAGATATCATAGTTCCAATCATGTTTACTCCTTCAACATGGTGTGCTCCTCCCAGCATGCAACCCTTCATTGGACCTTGGGTTATGTGGCAACTTCACGTACCCACTGAAGTGCTTATCCTTCTTCTCATGAGCATCAACAACTATTTTAAAGGTGTCGTTTCACTCTGTAACTCATCCATGTTCTGCTGGAATGAGGAAGATGTTGATCCTATGCTCAGGGCTTGTGGTATTTCTATTAGTATTCAGTTTACCCAAGCAGATGGGCGGGTGCTACCGACATCAAATTTGAAAGTCGGGCATAGGGAAGACTTCATACTAAGAAACGAAAGATGGAACATTAACAACAAGAACCAAAGTTTAACACCATTGTAAAAGGCTCAAATAAGTTGTACAAAAGGCATTGCCGAAGGTCATTGAAAGAACTTGTAACCGAAGCTCGAAGGTTGTTGAAAGGACTTGTAACCGAACCTCATAGTGTAGTCCGGAGAGTTGTTGAAAGAACTTATAAAAGAACCTCATAATGTAGTTCGAGGGTCGTTGAAAGAACTTATAACCAAACCTCGTAGTGTAGTTCGGGTTTTTCAAGTTCAATCTATTTATTTCAACTTTCGGTAGTTGTAACTTCATTCACTAAATGAATAAAATTTATAGTTTTATCCACAGATTGTTCTCTTCTTTTATGCAACTGAAGAATCATAACTTAGGATTTTTATCAAACCCTCAGCTATTAACGGACTTGATATATCTTTACTAACTGCCGTTTAAGTTGGACTAGCCATACTTTTCTCCTTAGTTTGATGAGTTGGCAAAGAGTTTCTTTTAGACTTAAGTGCTAAGATTTCTCTTCTATCCTTAGCCTTTTTAGGCCTTAGATCAGATACATGATAATAAAGCTCAAGTTACTACCAAGTGTTAAGAACGAAGCTCATCATGTGGTAGGATAGTTGCGGGGAAACGAACGTCATTTATGAAAATGATGACATTAGGAAAATAATGTCGTTCAGTGACTTAGAAGTATGATGACAATGATGGAAACAAAGGCTTATCACTTGGTAGGCAATTGCTAAAAAACGAACGTCATTCGAGGAAATGATGATGTTAGGAAAATCATGTCGTTTAGTGACTTAGAAGTATGACGACAATGATAAAAACAAAGGCACATCACTTGGTAGGCTAATGCTGGAAAGCGAACGACATTCGAGGAAATGGCAACATTAATAAAATCATGTCATCCAGTGACTTCGAAGTATGACGATAATGATGAAACCAAAAGCACATCACTTGGTAGGCCAATGCTGGAAAACGAACATCATTCGAGGAAATAACGATGTTAGGAAAATCATATCATTCAATGACTTAAAAGTATGACGACAATAATGAAAAAAAAGACACATCACTTGGTAGGCCAATGTTAAAAAATGAACGTCATTCGAGGAAATGACAATATTAGTAAAATAATATCGTTCAGTGACTTAGAAGTATGACGACAATAATGAAAATAAAGGCACATCACTTGGTAGGCTAATGCTGGAAAACGAACATCATTCGAGGAAATGATGATGTTAGAAAAATCATGTCGTTCAGTGACTTAGAAGTATGACGATGATGATGGAAAAAAAGGCACATTATTTGGTAGGCCAATGCTAGAAAACGAACGTCATTCGAGGAATGATAACGTTAGGAAAAACAATATAGTAACACATCATATAGTAGGTTACTATTGGAAGGATATTTTTTAACAAAAGTTAAACATTGACTATCAGAGGTAATCATTAACATGATATTTTTGTGGTCCCATCATCCTATTGAAGAGGATTAGTGAGGGAAATTTGGAGGGGATCAAGTAAAGAAATCGTTACCTTGATTTACCTCTCCATTTGCTATGAGGCGCATTTGACCAAGGGACTATAGATAATATTTCTTTAGAAATTTACCATTGATAGGCATCATGAGTTTGTCTCAATCATGTGTGATAAGATGATATACTCCATTTGAGTAGACAGTCTCCACTACAAATGGTCCTTCCCATTTTGGCTTGAACTTCCCTTTCTTCTTAGAGTTCAGATCATTGGGCATCAGATAGCGAGAACTAAATTACCTTCCTTGAATGTATGGTATCTGACTTCCTTATCAAATGATCTGGAAATCCGAACCTGTTAGAATTCGATGTGTTGCTGAGCCTATAGTCACTTTTCATCCAACAGCTCTAACTCTTCGAGATGTCGGCAGTGATTTTCTTTCGACATCATGCTGGTTGCAAGTACTATCCAAAGAGATGGAATTTGGATCTTTAGTGGTAATACGGCTTCACATCTATATACCAAGGAGTATGGGGTTGTACCTATCGGTGTACGAATTGTTGTGTGATACGTCCACAAGCTTTGACCCAACTTCTCATTCTAATTTCTTTTGTTTATCGAGACCACCTTAGTAAGAATCTTGACAATTGTCTTGTTAAAAGCTTTTGCTTTCCCATTAGCAGCAGGGTTGTAAGTTGTTAAGACCAAATTCCTCATTCTGAACTTATCGCAGAATCGAGTGAAGGTTTGGCTAACAAACTGGGGCCTATTGTCGTGGATGATACGTCTCGGAATACCATACTTGTATATAATGTGATGATTTATGAATTTAACCACATCACTTGTCTTAACTTCTTTTAATGGGATCGCTTCCACCCATTTGGAGAAGTAATCAGTTATCGCTAATATGAAGCGATGTCCCTTAGAAGAGGGTGGGGAAATCGGGCCAACAATGTTCATACCCCGCATTTCGAATGGCTATGAAGCGGCTGATGGATGAAGATGTTCAGGCGGCTGATGCATGTAGTTAGTGTGTATCTGGCAGGCATGACATCGTTTAGCATAAGCAACAATGTCTCTAACCATATTTGGCCAATTATAACCCAGTCTACAAAGTCGGTCCCATAACTTTGGGTCGGGCTGATGAGCTCCACAGATGCCCTCATACACCTCCTTAAGGGCTTCTTCTGCTTCTTTGCTTGACAATCAGCAAAGCAATAGTCCGTCATATGACCTTCAATATAAAGTTTGAGACTAGGAATTGTAGTAGAATCTGGGTGCTCGTCTGCGAACAAATTCTCTTTCTTTGATGTCTTTGGGTAATAAGTCATATAAGACATAATCAATGATCGAAAACAGCTAATCTCTAGGCTCGAGAGGTTCTGGGGATTCGTCGACTGTGTTAATTTGCAATGCGTACTTCGGCCGGAATAATTGCCTGTTGGTCATCGTGATTTGCTGGGTGGCTCTTTCAGGTAGGGCCAATGTAGCTGCAAGAGATGTCAATGCGTCGGCATAGGTATTCTTGAGATGGGGTATATAGTCAATGTAGAAGCTTTCAAAGGAGTTGGCCAATGCTATGGCTGCGGTGTGATAGGGAATAAGGTCCTCATTCCTAACTTTATATTCACATTTTACCTGGTTGACAATGATTTGTGAATCACCATACACCTCTAGATGCTTCACCCCTAACTGTTTGGCTATGTCAAGACTGATTAACAAAGCATTGTATTCGGCTACATTATTGGAACATGGATCTGTTAGGGAAACAGCTCGAGGTAGCACATGGTTTTGTGGGGAGATGAAGACTACCCCCACTCCAGTGATAACTGGACTAGTAGGGCTTGCTCTTGCTGCGCCATCAAAGTATAATTGCCATACATGTTCTTTCGATAAGATATTAGCTTCATATGTCTCATCAGGTATATCCTGGTATAATTTAACCTTCCCGTTCAATGGGTGATTGGCCATAAGACCGCAAATAGACTGGCCTTTCACTACCTTTTGATGTTTGAAGTGAATATCATACTGGGATAGAAACAACGCCTATCTTGTGAGCCGTCAGTTCAATGCACCAGGTTGTGTCATGAACAACCGTATAGGATTGATCTGAGAAATAACATGTATGGTTTGTCCAACCAAGTAATATTGCATCTTTTGGACTGTAAAGACCAAAGCTAAGCATTCCTTTTCAATAGAAGGATAGTGAGGTTTAGCTCCTGATAAGGTCCTACTAAGATAATATATAGCCTACTCATGGTCATTATCATCATCTTATGCTAAGAGTCCTGCTAAGGCATGCTCTGTAGCTCGAATGTATATCAAGAATGGTCTACCTAACTTTGGTGCAACCAACATAGGTGGGTGTAGGCGTATAAAATTGCTTATAGGTCCCTTAGCATAGCTCGGCACAAACCGACGAACCAACGAGGCGACGAGGTTGACGAATCGCACGCAAGCAACGGAATACATCCGTTCGCGTGCGGAATCAAACCAACGGTTTGGGGAGTCAACGAGTCATCTAAACAAGAGCGGACTCGGATGAATCAAGACAGAATCAAGATCGGTTTCGGACTCGAACTCAGAAGTGGATTTACTGCCAAATCAGGTCAACAAATCGAGTCCAGACAAATCAACCGCACAACCGAATCACGGACAAAACGGGAACAACGACAAAACGACGGAACCCAAACACCCTGAGGGGCTCGGCCGAAACCGAGCGTTGGAACTTTGAGAGCCGAAACTCTGCCGAATTGAGAATTGAGCTTGGAGTTTTGAAGACTTGAGGACTTGAAGATTCAGATCTGATTCTCGGCGAGCGTCTACGTCACAAAAGACAGGAGTTCGAGAGAGGTAAAAATCAGATCTAAGATCTACACGAGATCATACTCCGGATCAAAGCTTGGCCTTTGATCCCGAGGACTAAGGGCGATTATTTCCTTGGTGAATTAATCCCACCGGCTATTATTTCCTTCGCAGAATAATACCCGTCAAATCGTGTAGATCCGACCGGATCTAGATCGCGCGGTGGTCCACGGATTAACCCCGGCGCAGGCAAAGAACCCACACAAAGCGAGTGACCACAAACAGGAGCTCGCGATTTGTTCGATAAAAGGAGAAAGTTGTAATAGGAAAGTTGTAATTTTTTTTTCTTTTTCTTTGATTTCGTTGTAACCGGATCTAAAAAAGACCGGATCTTTTGTAACCGAAAAATAGTTATTCAAGATAACAATGAATTCAATGAAGGCAATTTTCACCGCGAACAATCTGGCAACCACAGTGGGAGCCACCGATCTCGCTGCCGAGATCGTCACGTCGCAGCCGCGAATCTCAATCCCGGTCATGGAGGAGGTCTAGTATGAGTTCGACCAGCAGAAGTTCGAGGAGTACTTGTCGTCCTCGTCCGGATCAACCTCCCCCCGCAAGTCCAAGAAGTTCTCCTCCAGGAGAAAAGTTCGTTGGTTTGAAGAAGTTCAGAACGCCAATGACGCTCTCACCCCAGCTGACGCCAAAGTTGCGTCGGGTGAAGTTCCACCGACCTCCAACGAGGTCAAACCTATTCTTGTCAACGCTTCTACTGTTGAGGGTGTTGTGACTCTCTCTAAGAGAGCCCGCCAGAGGCGACGTCAGCGCCTTGCGTGACAACTCGCTAAGGCGATGGAGTCTACGGACGGGGTCCGCTACAACGCGGATCTGAAGAATAGGAGAGGCAAACAGCCTCAACAACTGAAGAATGGCGGTTCCTCCAAGCCACCGACGAACGAATGGATCCAGGTCAAACGGAACCGTTCGACACTCGAAGAGCGGATTCACAAACGCCGCGCACTGCTTGCACAAGCAAAAATCCTTGTGCAGAAGGCCGAGGAGTTGAAGAAAGGAAGAGTGGCCAAGAAGCCGCCATCAACCCGCCAAGTGTGGAGGCCGAAGCAGCAAAGTTCAACTTCCGGCGAATCAATCCAAACCGCCGATGATTTCCACAACTGCTCCGGGAGATCCCGCAGGACCATCCCAGAAAAGGAAGTCAGTCTTGGAGCGCCTCGGTCCAATTCCCGATGAAAAAGGCAAAGTTCCAGTTCAGGAACGTTTGGGCCCGCTGAAGAATCCCCGAACCACTCAACACGCTGGGGGTCGCCGTCACCTCCAACATGACAAAGAGACCAGGACAGCTACGCGCACCAACTTGCGCATCGAAGTCCAGGAGCCCGCCGAGAACTCACGCCCAAAAAGGCATGTATCGAGGCGCGTGACTTTTGAAAGCCCAAAGAGGGCAGTTCCCCCTCAGAAGGAAACATTATCGTCTGATGACGATAATGTTATACATGAGAAGTCGTGCCAACACACGATAGGTTACTCCGATTGTCAAGCAGACGAGTTGTACTATCGTGCTGGGGGTACGAATAAAACCAGGAAAAGGAGACCCCAAAAACAGGAAACTCAGTGCCCATGTTCCAAACTCATTCGGGCAGTATTGTCTGATCGTGCCAACACACGATAGGTTACTCCGATCGTCAAGCAGACGAGTTGTACTATCGTGCTGGGGGTACGAATAAAACCAGGAAAAGGAGTCCCCGAGAACAGGAAACTCAGTGCCCCTGTTCCAAACTCATTCGAACAGTATTGTCTGAGTGCAGCTGCATCAAGGCGGTCCCGAGACAATCTCGAATCGATTCTGAAAGCATCCCGGCCTAGAACCCGTCTGCAGTCCGGAACTATCAAGCGAACAACCTATGGTAGGGTTCGAACAATACTCCCTTCAGAAGATGAAGAATCTGATGCTGGCTCTGCGGTTGCATCAGACAATACAGTATCCAGCGAGGGACAACCCCGCGAGGCACTTATGATAAGGGCGGAGCAAGTGGCCAAAATGCTTGAAGACGCCTTAGCTAAGCAACAGGAAACCTTCAGGTTCGAAATGCAGATGGCCATGCAAAACATGCGAGAAATGCATGACCAACAAATCCAAGCATTGACGAACCAGCAAGGCGAACCAAGTCGTCGCAACCAAGTTCATCAGGAGGACGAGGATACGAATGAAGCTCGTAATACTAATAATCCTCCCGTCAATGCAGGGGGTGGTAACGAGAATGCTAGTAAAAACACAGATGAAAATCTAAAAATTAAAAATCTCGAGAGCAAAATCAATACATTGATTTCCGCTCAAGAGATGAAGAAAACAGGCATTCCGTGTCCATACCCAAGAGAGTGGGAATCAATCCCATATCCGGCAAAGTTTAACCTAATTAACTTCACGCCGTTTAATAGGATGGGTTCCCCCACTCAACATTTGATTTATTTCAAATCGCACTTGGGGGTAATCTCCGGCAATGAGCCTCTGATGGTGCGGTCATTCGTCGGCACTCTTCGCGGAGCCGCCTTCGATTGGTGTCGTCGCCTCAAGCCAGGAAGCGTAAGCAGCTGGGACGACATGGAAAATAAGTTCCTCGCTAATTTCTTCAACGACGACACCGAAATATCCATCGGAACGTTGCTTGATGAAAAACAAAAAGACGGGGAGTTGGTCGACACCTTCGTCAAAAGGTTCCGGAACAAGGCGATGAATTGTCGGGACCCGATCACTGAAGAGTTCATTCTCCAGACCTGCCATGTCTGACACTTGGAAGGATTTGAAGGTGCGCGGTGAACAAGCCGAACGTTTCCTCCGAAGGAAGAAGGCCGAGAGGAACCTACCGACGGCTAATCCTCTGAACTCGAACTTCGCCTCTCGTGGTAAGGGCAAGCCACCTGCAGCTGCTGATGGTGCTAATCAAGCGTCACAACAGCAATCCCGAAGGCAGCAAAAGGCTTCGGGTCCGAGACTCCAAAGAGAGTATTCCTTCAAAGACGAAGACGTTCCAGCCATCTTCGAATCCCTCCTTGGAAGCAACAAGATCAAGCTACCACCTATCACAAATCAGGAGGAAGCTGACAACACTACGGACCCAAAGTACTGTGCATACCACAGGAGGGTCGTTCATCCCACCAAGGATTGCTTTGCTCTCAAGAATAGCATTCAGACCTTGGTTGAAGCCGGCGTCATATCGTTCAGATAAGCCAAATAAGAACGGCAACACTCCGAAGAGTATACGAGTATAAACTACTTCTCAATCCTCCAACGGGTGCAAGAGGTTAAACTGCTCCCTGCATACTCCAATAAGGTA